GCTTTGCTCGCATGGCCGCCGGCTGAGACTGTGTCGGTCGCCTATCCCTCCTCTGAGACTCTGCTTCCTCCCTGGCTTGAGTCTCTAGCTCAATCTCCCTTTTCCGAGCATTTGCCTGGAGCTCGGCAAATGTTCGGTATGTCGAGTTCGTCACAAACTCATGAATGTCTCTCCTCAGTATGCACAGACACGTGCTCAGGGCAAAACAACGCCCTCTCATGAAACATCCGCGGGATCACAGTCACAGACTCAGTCCCCTACTCGAGGGACAAGAACTCCTGGGCCAACCGTTCCCTCTCCACCGAAGGAACGTACTCATCTCGAAACATAGTGGTGAACCTCTCCCAAGTCACTGCGGTAAGCTCTGCAGTAGAGAAATCAGCTGTTACAAACTTCCACCAGTCCTTCGCTCCCAAGCGAAGCTGGTTCAACGCGAACTGTACCCTCAGATGCCCTGGACAAGAACATGTATAAAAGCATCCCTCAATGTCATAAATCCATATCATCACTTCTATCGGATCCTGAGTCCCATCAAACTCTAGTGACTTTGTGTTGCTGAACTCCTGGTACAGCAACGAGTCACCCCCATGTGGCCTAGCAGCAACAACGGTTGCGGTGGCTGCAACAACAACAACATCGGTAAGAGCAGCGTACCGCTCGTCAAATGTCTCAAACATCATGGTCTTGATAGACCCAAACATCTCCGGTATCTCAGCTCGAATGGCTGCAACCACCTCATCGTGAATCATCCTACAAATCTCATCATCGCTAACACCGCTGCTCTCTGGAGTGTGGCACGTACCCACCACGATGTCTCTGAAACACAACACAAAGGAAATCAAGACTCGCTCGAGTATTCTCGCACTCGACCACTCAACCCTACTTGTTCCTTAGTACCCTAAGGATTCTTACTTGGGTTGCTTACTGACCCGGTGTTTCCAGTAGTACGGGCCCTATACTACCTTCCACACCACATTAATATTCACCCCAAATCCTCCTCCTAGGATCCCAGATCACAAGTACTATATATCTTGTTGAATGCATGCTACCCTCTAGTAGACCTCTCATAAGCTCCTTCTTGCTACCTACCCACACTTGAAGTAATTCACAGTAGCAACAACTCCTAGGCTAAAGCATCACAAATCAGGTCACTCTAGTCCTAAATATAAATACCTAGCCTATTCTAGCATGCATAACACATCTCATAATATCTCATAACACATAACGTAAGGGTATTTTGGGAAATCACCGTTTGGGCGCTGGCTGATTGTACACACTGCTCCTTTCCGCGCTTTTGAAATGTTTTACTCTTTTTAGAAAAATTGTTGTTGTTTTTTTTTTGAAAACTTTTCTCAAATCCTCAATCTGAGTTCAGATATGCCCGAAGGTGTATCCGAATCCCTCAAACCAAGGCTCTGATACTAACTTGTAATGACATAAATTTTCAAATAAATTTTTCATTTTTAATTTCATAAAACACGTGTCATTTTATATAAAACACCATAATAGTCAACAGAGTTTTGAAAACATTATATCAAAACTAGGATCCACAATCATAACTCCATGTCCAAAGTGTGGGTACAATCACGCCGGTGCCTTCCCGTGATCCTCAGAAGTACCTGAAACACATAACACATAACATGGTAAGCACGAATGCTTAGTGAGGTCCCCAAAATACCACATGCATATACATTAGCCACTCGAGGCTATAACTCTGTAACACCTTCCGGTCAATGTGTCTCAGTGGGACCTTCTGGTCCCACAACTCTGGTAGACCTTCTGACCCTACCATGATTTGCCTTTCGGCCCAAACTCTTACTGCCTTCCGGCTATAACTATGATTGCCTTTCGGCCATAACTCTGATTGCCTTCCAGCCTTAACTTTGTTGACCTTCCAGTCCCAAACATACGACATATACATATCACATAAAGTCACATAGCACATATCAATACATAAGACATTTCGGTCACATATAAATACCACTCTAGGTAACGTATAGTGAGATGACTCACCTCGAACTATCTCAGACTCAAATCTCTGGTCTAGCTTCCGTCTAATACACATAAACAAAAATTCTTGTTTAATAACAACACTCATTAAGCTAGCCCTCCCCCCTTATGCTCTCTCGGAAGGGTAAAAGACCATTTTACCCCTTTGTGAGTCCAAAAGTCCATTTGTTGACCGAACCCTAAAATTCAACAAAAGTCAACGTCCGCGAGTACGTTGCGCATACCAGATCCCTACGTTGGGCGTACTCGTCCACTTCGCTGATATTGGGCTGATCGAACCCTACCCCCATGCGTACTGGGATTTACGCTCAGCTTACGTCCCAATTTCACTAATTTCTCACTTATGGTCTTAATCAGTTAAGACCTTGGCTCAAAATACATATTTGGACCCCCTACATCTCCTAATCCATAAAAATCGAAGACTTTATGCCTTTGCATGGTTGGTTTGGCTTTAAACACTCAAAACCTTCATCCATTTTCTTCCTTAAGCTCATATCCCATGCATGGTTAGTTCTTATTGACCAAGATTGGATTTTATGACCTTGTAACATGAAATACATTAGCAAGGGACAAATATAGGTTCTTAGAGCTCATCAACTCACAAAGCCATCAATTTTTGGGATAAAAACCATAAAACATCCCATATAAGAACACACAACAGAAAAGGAAGAAAGTTTGAAGCTTTATACCTCCAAATGAAGCTTCTCACACTGCTAAGCTCGGATCCGAGTGCTTGGGATCTTACTCCTTCTCCTCTAAAGTTTCCTTTCCACTCTTAAGGCTAAAGAACACACCAAGAAGCTCTCAAGGGCACTCTCTAGATACAAAAATGAGGATTGGGGTTTTGGATAGACAAGTCTCTGGAAATGGTGGCCAACAATGAGGCCATAACATTCTTTAAATAGGGGGCTCGTTTAGAATTAGGGTTTCATTATGGGCCTGGTACGCTACGCGTACACCTTGGTATGCCCCTCGTAGATGACAACCTCCGCATCATGAATACGCTCACGATTACGCACGGTGTACTCCCTATTACACCCAGCATACTCGATTATCACACAAACTACACATGGGCTAAAACTGACAACTTAAGGAAAGAAGAAGGGCCAATGAGATATACCTGATTTCGGGATGTTACAATAACAAATTCGTGAACTTTATGGCTATATGGGCTGAAAGGGATCTGTATCCGAAGTTACAACTTCATATAAGACTCCATACTAAAAAAGGTTCACAAAATTGCTAAAAGATGGCCCTAAACTCAAACATGGAGAGATCTAGCAATAGGAAAGTCAAGGAAGCAACTTTATACCTTAAAGGGATTGGAAATATAGCTTGAACCTTGGATCTACTGCTTCCTTGAACCTTCTAGCTCCATCTTCTTCTTCTTCCTCTAGCTTCAAAATCATACAAACACTTTCACAAATGACTCACACACTCAAAAAAGCTCAAAGGACACGAGTTAGGGCGTTCTGGACTAAGGGAGATGATGGGGGTTGCATGGGAGGCGAGTTAATGTGTTTAAATAGGGTGCAAACCCTAAAATTTAGGGTTTCATCCAGACAGGTCTACTCGTCGAGTTAGGGCTTCCGACTCGGCAAGTAGATTCTTCCACCTGAATCCAAGTTTTGCCTCTACTCGACAAGTTGGGGCCTCCAACTCGTCGAGTCCTAGAGTAAAAGTGTGAAATTTCTTATTTAAAATACGTACCAGGACCCGAGCGTTACAGTATTACAGTCATTTTGTAACGTCCATAAAAATTGCAACCAATTTAAACTTTTCAAAAACAACCCAATTTTATAAAGTCATTACAAAAAGGTTTTCAATACATTTATTATCAGAGTCTTCCCAGAACCATATTAGAAAACATAAGCATGAGGAGCGGTACGATCACGCCTTTGCCTTGCCACAGTCTCCTGAAATACCTGAAACATTTAAACCACAACTGTAAGCCCGAAAGCTTAGTGAGATACCCCAAAAATACCAACCACATATACCATACACATAACATGCCATATCATAACAGAACATAGAACAATCATGTACTTCGGGTCTACTGTGTGACTGGTCCGCCGCACCGGGCCTTCAGTCCAGCTGGTCCACCCTCCGAGTCTAGCCATATCCATCAAGTCTGCAGTGTGGTTGGTCCGCCCGCACCGGGCCTTCAACCCACCCGGGCCCGAAAGCATGATCCATAAATCGTATTAAAAAACAAAATTGGATTCAATAAACATAAATCAAATATCAAAATGAGAATTCCATAAATAAAAAATAATCAATGATGAAAAAAATCAGATTACGTACCGTGTATCAGCGTTTTCGATTTTCGGTTTAGGGTTTGGTTACGACCATCGGTGAATTAGCGTGTCAATAAGGATTTTCAAGTGTTACGGTAGTAATACAAATCATTTGTTGTAAATTGAAACTTGATATTTGAAATTGTAGGTATCAGTTGTTGTCGGCGAAGTATTGATAGTTGTAATCGGCATCCAAAGGAGATAATGGTGGTTATGGTCTTGGCCGGTGGTGAAGTCAAGAATGCAAATTGTTTAGTTGCCTAAATATAGGCTTTTAATTTGTACATACCTAATTTAAAGGATTTTATTTAGATATTCATTAATTACTTATTATGCTAATTACATATTTACCCTTATAATAAATATAAATAATTTAAATTTTTCTAAAATGTCATTGGTTCCTACATTCGGATGTCAATCCACATATGACCTAACACTCTCTGTGTGTATATATATATATATATATATATATATATATATATATATATATATATATATATATATATATATATATATATATATATATATATATATATATATATATAGAGAGAGAGAGAGAGATAAACCCATTTTCTTTTATTTAATTACAACAATTAAAAGAAAGAAAGAAAGATGGGCCATTCAAACTTATGGATTATATTTGTAATAAATTTCTTATATCGACCAAGCTAGTAAATTTGCCAAGCACAGGGACCTGTCATTTTGTCTAAAAAAAATTTAATAAATCATAAGCCTCATTTGTGCACGAATAAAAACCCTAATTTCAACTTCATTCTCTTTCTCTTTTCTCTCTCAACCTCTACGCAATTAATCTCTTCAACAGCTACAGCCTCTCCTATGGCGACGGCGGGCGACGGAAGGGCTCCCTATGAAAGCAGCGGAGCCGGAGGAAAGTTCCGTAAGAGGCCTTACCGGCGTAGTACTCCGGCGACGCCGTATGATAGACCTCCTACGGCACTCAGGAACAACAATCCTGGCCTATTTACGAAGCTTGTGGACCCTGCTTCCAGACTCATCTATGCCGGGGTTCATAAGCTCTTCGGCGTTTTCCGCAAGCGTCTTCCTCCCCTATCTTTACAAGGGCTGCCAGGTTCAACGCTTTTTCTCTCAATCGAATAAAATTTTAATAATTTCATGCCTGTGTCAGCTTAATTAGGGTTTATTTGGCTGTATCCAAATGCTATATCTTATGGCTATTGTAGGGTATCAAAGTTGGTGTGCTATGTATTAGGTTTTTCTGTTTTCTATTGGATGATTGCTGCGTTCTTTTTCATTAGATTAGTTTTTTCCTTTGGCTGTAAAAAGGCATTCATTTTACGACATCACAGGCATTGCAATTATTATTTAGTTTTTTCTTGTTGAAATCTTGTTTCTGCATTTTTGAATTGCACGGGGGTTTTAATTTAGCGGTCGAAAGATGCTTATCTCTTGTTACACTGTTGGTCTTATCTTTCATAAATGCTTGGTTTCTGTTGGCCAAATTCTTTTTTCTGCATGTTTCAACTGCCTAAGCTTTTCTTCAATATGGCTGCAGAAAGCCACTTATCTATCCCTAATCAGTCAAATTAGGGTTTATTGATAGTTTTTACTCATTTAATTTGTACCTTGAGAAAATTGAGTCTTTAGGTTGAGACATTTTGGGGTTATAAAAGGATATATTATCATGACAGTGAATTTTGTCCAATGTTTCTCATTAGTGTGGATGTGTAGTTTATAAGTCTTTATCTACAAAAACTTGATATAGGCTAGGCATTATTTATGTGCAACATTGGGTTTTCAATGTTGATGAAATATGACTTTCCTGAGTTTAACTATTATGAAGTTGAAATGACATCATGAATATGCAATATTTTAGTCATATGTAAATGTATAATTGACATCTTTGAATGACAACACTAAAATTTATTGGTTTCCTACGAATATGCAGTTCCAACTTCACGAGGTCTTACAGTCATTCAAATTATGTGAATTGAGATATCTAAGAGCTTTAGGTTGGAACTCTAAATTAGGCAGTAGTCATGGAACTTTGCTTCCAAAGCATGTTTACAAGTTCATCAGTGAAAGAGAGTCATGAAGCTCAAAACAAGCAAATATGACATTTATATGTGGGAGACTGAGCTTATGATCTCATGTATTTGTACTAGCTCAATAGTAAATGGAAAGGATGACACCTAGCTTAGAATTGTGAGTCGGATCTATGAGAGAGTAAACTCCTCTTGGTCATATGCACATAGGTGAGAAACCGTTTTTGTGTTGCTTGGAATAAAATGCTTGTGATATGGATGGAATAAATATTCTTGAACATTTCAATTTTTTGCCCTGATGTGGAAAAGATAATTGTTGTGCATGTGTGAATTTGAAACCTTAAACTTTAAGAGTTCCGCTACAGACAAATTCTAGTTTATGAGGTACATGTTCCTTACAAAAGTTCTTATGTTGACAGGGATTAGTGAAGAACCACAAAATGTTTCTCAGGATGTAGGGAGAAATGTAAGTTCTTTATCTGTTTGCTTCACATGTGGTATGCTGGTTTCAATAACTGTACTAATACCATCTTAATTTTTTGCTCAAGTCTAAGGCCCAAAACTTCCTTTAGCTTTCACATATTACATTTAAATCAAGAACTTTCTTGAATTTTGCAAATATTAGTCAGAAAGCAAAATAATACATTTCTTTTTGTTGGGTTGTATGGTATTTCACTATTTCTTCATGACTTATGTTGCTGGTTTTGTCCTGATTCTCTGTATATTGTTTCTAATCTGAGCTGCTTTCTCTTATGAGTCGAATTCAGATGCCCTTTACTTGAAATAATGAACTACACAATCTCTTATATCATTGTCTTAAGCCTTTTATCCAACCATTTTGTTTGAAACTTTTGTAACCCCGATGCACTTTTGATTTCTTGAACTGAAGAATTCTATTGGAGTATCAAAAGCTAGCACTGATGAAGACATGAATTCTGCTGCCACTGGGATATCAGAGCTTGAGCAAATGTTGAAACAAAAAACCTTTACTAGGTTGGTCTTTCTCTGAGTACAATCCTACATTGCTATTTTTTACGCTTTAGTGGTAACTTTTTATCTTTACATCATATTACATATTGGGGTATGCTCATTTTGTCAATAAGCTGCAATATGATTTCACGGCATTTATGGAGAGGTTGCTTTGATTCCCACTTTAACCAAAAAACTTGCTTTTAAGGTAAAAATATTTCGTTGTAATCATATCTCATGCAATTCCAAGGTTGTACTTTTGTGTGTTTTGATAAGAAATTAGAATTACTAAAGCAACACACAAACAACACAATGATATGGCAAGAGTTTTTTAGAAGGACCGCAGGGGCAAATCTGGAAAGTGGCTAAAGAGTTAGTTAGGAGAAAGAGAAGAGTAAAGAGAGGGGAGGCATTTTCATTTCAGGGTATCGATTAGTATTGTGGAAAGATTATTGACTCTTAGCATTTAGCTAGAGAGAGAGGGAGATTCCCTGGGATTGTTTGAGGTTATTACTTCATTCAATATCACAGTTTGTAATTCATTTCGTTAGATTCAATGATATCATCTTCTTCTTCCCTAATTCTTCCTGTTTTCCTTTAATTTCATTATCTGTTGATATCTGTTTCTCATCATGTTTGAAGTAGAGGGAAAATACTTGGTGTTTTGAATTTTGCATAAATTACTTTTTGTTGCATGAGAATCAACTTTCTTGGTTGCATAAGAATTTTAAACTTTTCCATTTTGTACTCTTAATTGAATTTGCAACATTCTCTTTCAAAGCCAAAAAAGAAGAAGAAAGTTATTCCATATTGTTAAATGAACAAAAATGGCACACTGATGTTACATACTGCTACAGATCTGAAATCCAGCACTTGACAACATTGCTGCATTCAAGAACCACCGAGTCACCTGATAATGTTGTAGAAATAAATGGAGCAAAGCCTCAAACTTCACCTTCTCCCTTTTTAAGGCTTGAAGCATCAACAAGTGGCTCAATGAAAAAACATGGAGACAACAGGGATAACTTCCATGCTGCTATTTCAACTCCCTTTGTCAGTTCAAAAGTGAGTAATATTTTCATGTTTGTTTTTTTTTTCTTCTATGTGTGATTTTTATGTATAATACGTTATTATATTATCTTCAGGTTCTTGAAGAGGAGACTCCTTCACCTGCTGAGGTGGCAAAGTCTTACATGGGATCCAGGCCTACAAAGCTAGCTCCATCACCACTTGGATTAACCAGCCTTACAAGCCTTCAAAAAACATCAATTACTCCAAAAACTGCAAACAATTTCAAGGGTCTTGAAAACGGTTTCTTGACACCAAGATCAAGAGGCAGATCAGCAATGTACAGCATGGCTAGGACACCATATACCAATAGCCCTTTTAATTTTAACCAAAAGGTTTGCATTTGCTTAATTTACTTACATCTATCAAACTTACTCCTTAGTTTTTTTTTTTTTTTACTGAAGTAGAATCTTTTATGTTACATAATTTCCAGGAAATCATCTCAACATCTTCTCAGTCTCTAAAACGTAGGAGTTCTGTTTTAGAAGATGATTTTGGATCTGGGGGCCCACTTCGTAGAACACGACAAAAACCTAATCTTTTATTACAGTCAAGAGAGAAAAGAGAACTTGGATACACTACTTTTCAACAACCAATGCTTTTAGAGAACAAACCTGAAGAAAATGGAGACACTGCTATCCACGGGTCAACCCATGGATCTGTTCCAGCAAAGTCAACTCAAACAGCTACAAAAATATTCCAACAACTTGAAAGATTGACTCCAAAATCACCCACTAAACTGACATCAAATATGCTCCATGGTCAGGCTCTTAGAAGCTTGGAGAAAGTGGATTTACCTAAATTTCTCCCGACCTCTCATGACACTCAGAAATCAGAGTTTCAGCATGAGTCAACTAGTAAGTCAACCTCTCGAGGCAAAGAAAAAGTTGAAGAAAATGGTGAAAGAAAGTTCCCTGTTCCTTTTAACATGTTGACACCTGTTAATGGTGATTTGGAAGTTTCTATAAAAGAAAGTTCACAGATTGTTACAGTTGACGATTCAACTTCGATTCTTCCACCTGAACCTCCTCAAAAGAGGCGAGCTTTTCAGATGAGTGCTCCTGAGGTATGTCGTGTTTATTTGTTGTTATCTTGCTATTTTTAGTTATATTTCAGCAGCTATATTGACTTGTGCTTATCTCATGAAGGATACATGGGAGCTTGATGACGATGATGATGACATCAATGTTAATGGGCATGTGTCCATTCCACCTGTTGTTGAAAACAGTAAACCAGAGACAAGTTTAGTAGCAAACAAACCTGTTTCTGCTGACATCATTGAACCTCCAACACCGCTGGAAGTCTTTAAAACTCCGGCACCGGTAGCAGCAACTCCGGTGGTGGCTGAAGTAACTCTGGTTGCAAAAACTTCAGAGAAAGTTGAGTTGAAAGAATCTGAAAAAGCTACACCATTTCCAAAAACTGATGGATTTCTTAGTGGGAATGTTATTGAGCAAGAAACAGGATTTAAATTCCCAACCTCACCTCCATCAACTTTCACCACACAAAAAGACAAGGCTACCCCTACTGAAAATGTGTCACCATTTCAGTTTTCTGGTAGCGAGCTTTCAGAATCCAAACCAAAAGCACCTGATTCGACCAGGTAAGAAGATTCTTTTATTTACTTTTTTTTTTTTTTTGCTCTCTGCTTATTACTGAAACCGAAGTTGGAAAATATGTTTTATTGCAGTGTATTTAATTTGGACACAAAGAATGATCAAGTTAAGGTCACCAACAAGGATGAAAATGGAAATGATCAAAAGCTGGAAAATATTCCTGCAGCTTCATCAACGAGTGCTATGTTCTCATTTGCCAGCTCAGCAGCGAAGGACTCAAGTGGTCCCACTCCGACCATGACACCTGATTCAAGCTCTCCTATATTTTCTTCATCAACTCCTTTTCCAGCTTCTGGTGCAGATGCAAATTCAGTTTTCAATAATAGCTCTTCCAATATTACCCCCGCCAGTACTTCCATAGCCACTAGTAGTGTCTTCTCTACTACATCTTTACCACCACCAGCCTTCAGTTTCGGGTCTTCTAAACCAACTTCTTTGGCAGAAACTGGGAAGGCTGATGCTATAACTGAAAAGGAACCAAAAGTCCACCGTAAGCAGCTCGGTTTTTGCCACCACCCCAAGTGGTGGTGGTGGTCTCTTTGGCTTCAGTTCTCCGACAGCTACTTCCACCGCCACTGCCACCACCACAACAAATGGTGGTGCTCTCTTCGGCTTCAGCTCTCCGGCAGCCGCTTCCACCACCACCGCCGCCACAAGTGGCGGTGCTCTCTTTGGCTTCAGTTCTCCGGCTGCTACTTCCACCACCACCACCACCACTAGTGGCAGTGCTCTCTTTGGCTTTGGTTCTTCGGCAGCTACTTCCACCACCTCCACCACCAGTACATCAAATGCTGGCGCGCTCTTTGGCTTCAGTTCTCCAGCAGTCACTTCCACCACCACTACCACAAGTGGTGGTGCTCTCTTTGGCTTCAGTGCTCCGGCTGCTACCTCCACCACCACCACCACTAGTGGCAGTACTCTCTTTGGCTTCAGTTCTCCGGCAGCTACTTCCACCACCGCCACCACCACAAATGGTGGTGCTTTCTTTGGTTTCAGTTCTCCAGCTGCCACTTCCACCACCACTGCTCCATCGCAGGGGTCTTTCTTTACTGCTGCCAGTGGTTCTCAGTCAAACACACCGACATCTACTCCTGTTACTCAGGCTGTTCCCTTCCAGTTTTCTTCAAGCAGTTCTTTATTTGGATCTTCTGCTCCTGCTTTTGGCATTAGTTCTTCAGAGGGCAAATCCGGTAATTCCACTAGTGGGTCCACCTCCACCACTAGCATATTTGGTTCTTCTTGGCAACCCCCAAACTCTTCAGTATTCTCATTTGGGGCATCATCTGCAGCCACAACTCCACCTATCACATTTGGTGCATCATCTAATACAACCGCATCAACAGGATCTTCCATGTTTTCATTCACTACATCTGGTCCCACCAAGCCGTCTTTCACAACCCCCTCCACAGTTTTTGGAAACCCAACTCCTGTTTTTGCGAATAATAATAATAATGATCAAATGAGTATGGAAGACAGCATGGCGGAGGATTCTATGCAGACTCCTAGTCCAAGTCCTGTTTCTGTTTCACCATTTGGTCAAGCGGCTCCTGTGGCTGCATCACCAGGGTTCATGTTCGGTTCAGCCACCCCAGCCCCACCACAAGTGGCGGCTCCTTTCCAGTTTGGTGGCCAGCCAAACCAAGTGCCGCCTCAGAATCCATTCCAGTCATCGAGTGTAGAGTTTAATGCTGGTGGAGGAAGCTTTTCGTTAGGGTCTGGTGGTGGTGATAAATCTGGAAGGAGGATGGTGAGAGTTACTAAAAGCAAGAACAGGAGGAAATGAGGCCATTTTTTTAAAGGTATCAATGTTGATGTAATGCATATGCACCTTTTTTTAATATTTTTTTTCTTTATGTGTCTTGCTATTGCGAAGTATTGTTGTAGTTAGAATGTTGTTAGATCACAATTTTGACGCAAGTGTTGGTAGTGTGAAGTTTTAGATTCATATGTTACTGTTGTAGATTTCACTATCGTACTCTTTTATGTAGAAAATACATAAGCCAAGGGTATTGAATTTTTACCATAGGTATCATGTTTCTAGTTTCTAATAATAAGTTTAAGCCACTAGCAACTTAGAATGTTGTTTTTGTTTCCTATTAAAGGATTTGTAGTTTCGTTTTTTGCCTCCAATTGCAAATATTGCATCCGTCACATTCAACTCCATTTGTAAGTGAGAATTAGATGTGGTTGAAATTAGACCATGATCACCAAGAAATAGCACATTGGTTCTCTTTTCCACAGTGGCACATCAATTTGTGAGTCAAATAATGAATGAGTTCTACACCTGAAGAAAAGTTTCAAAAGGAGGTGTTAAGGATGACGGTATCCACCACATAAACGCATGATGATGATTAGAGTTTAGAGCGTCTGAATGCCTAAAATGACATCCATTCAAAATCTATCACTTGGGTTTGGAAATTAAAATTCATTGGTTCCTACGACACCAACCACTGAATGCTACCATGATTTCGACTCTGGTATCAAATTGATGAATAATATCAACTGCAGAAAATAAAGAATTAAATGAAAATTAATGTTTATTGATTGATTTCAACTCTTCATTTGAGAGAACTCAGTTTCATATCTTTAACATCAACTATAGAAGCAATCTCTTTACCCTAGGACGGAGACCCAAGTGTACGACTGCATACACATTATTACCCCATTGTTGTAAAATCGTCATGTGAAACACAATTTAAGGTTGTCCCATAATCTTACTATATTGTCCAAACTTCATGAAACCATGATCCAAAATAAAATTAATTGCTAAGCGGTTTATCCACAATGATTAGAAGGGAGTGAAACTACACATCCCCCCTAAAAGAAGGCAACAAAGACAAGTATAGAACCAAAGGAATGCTAGAATAATGAGAAAATCTCAGAAATACAACACCATATGCTTCTTTTCATAGAATCCATTTCCATAAAGTTTAATCACTAGCAGAAGAAAATAGTTCTGAGACCAACTTCACCACCCCCGACATTGGTGCATCATCCTGCACAAACCAACATTTTTATATGGATAAACACCTTTATATTTAACTTAAAACCTATCCAAAAGAAAAAGAATATATATTTCAATTTTCACAAGAGACAGAATATTCACACTCACTAGGTAAACAATGTCAAAGCCTTTCCGGTAGTTATCAAGAGAGTTCTCAATGTTATTATTCCTGCAAAAAGCCAACACAACCAATGAATTACTCATTCAAACTTTAAAGTGCACATGTGGAAATCAAAATCATGTTTGTTTTAAAACTTACAAAAATCCAACAGAAATGCGAGTTTCATAGTTCAAACCATCAGACATTCTCAAGTCTCCCATGTGATCACCAAGAAGAAGCACATTGGTTCTCTTTTTCACAGAGGCGCTATCAATCACATGATCATCGATTTCACCCAAGTGATCATGTAAAGAAGCAGCCATATCAAGAGCATGCTCATTCTTATTTAAACTATGAATCAGCTTCCCTGAAACAACCATAAAGTTTCATACTTTTCAAGAAACAAAACCAATTCAATTGTATTATTTAAACCATGATTCAAGAATATACCTGTAAAAGAAACTAGGTTACCATTCTCATCAAATTTCATCCGGTTTGATACAATCTTAACATTTTTGAAAGTTCTATGAAGTTTCTGACGAAGAACCTGATGAAATTGAAATTATCATAGTTATAAACTGGAAGCATTAGCTCTATATGTAAAGATTAGCTTTTTGCTAATTGGTTAACTTACCTCCTCAATGATATCTGCTAGACCTGCAGAAAATATAAGAATTGGGACATCCCTCTCCTGCAGATTTAAAAGAATTGAGATTACTTTACTATTAAGGAAACCCTTCAAATTATGCTAAGATGGGAAAGAAAATGTCAAAACTTGCCTCTAAAAACTCAAAAAGCTCAACCACACCTTCTCTGAAAGCAATCATGGCACCAGCTACAGAGTTTCTTATTGCATCATATGTAAGGCCACCTTCAATAAGGAGACTATGGGTCTTACCCCACCTACATTGAGTTATAAAAGAACGGTTTAGCTTTAGTATTTTGTTATATTTATCTTGAAGTACTTAGAAATGGAAATGTAGATACCACTCTTCCATGAGCTTTGTTTTTTCATCAATTGGAATTTCAGGGTCAAATTCTAAAGGGTGATAGTAGTTGAATAACTCATCTCTCTTTGCATTGTACTCAGGATTCTCCTGTTGCAGGAGGGCGTGACTAGCTACAATTGCAATTAGACAATAGTTTAATTGCACAGCAAACACATAATAACAATAAAGAATGTGTTACAGTGTTTACTCATTCAAATTTTTTAATAAATCACAAACTTACAGTGTCCTTTAAATCCATCAACCCAAAACTTTGTCAATGTGTTGTCAAAATCTGCAATAACCTACAGTTTAAACAATGAAATAATTGCAAAAAGTTAGATCAATAAGCATTAAATGATTTAAATCTAGAAAGGGAAAAACGGCTTGCATGCATCAGCATTTCAGTAGAAGAATAAAGATCAAGAAAACCGGTGACAACTCATGATTAACGCAACAAGTATAATAAAAAGCCCCAAATATCGACAGGGTCTCGAGTAATAAACCTGGAATTTCGAGGGTCCTGCAAGGCGAATAGCTGTTTTTTTCTGATGAAGCAACTTGGGATCATTGATGACTACCTTAGACGAACAGCAGTTGGAACCATTAACCATTTTTACCATTTCAGCTTGACTCATGTTCCTCTTACTACAACGAACCCTAAAAATTAGCAAAAAGAAACATAAAATCAGCAACGTAGATATAACTTCCTGTACATGCATTGTAGCTAGCATATATGAAAGAGGCAAGACCTGTTCTGTGGATTGAAGATAGCAATACCTGGAATTGGAGTGAGAGAGGTTGAGACGATGGGAAATGTAGCGAATTGTCAGAATGGCGTGTAGACGAAAGCAACTCAGAGACATATAGAGGTGGTGAAGGGCGAATGCCGAGGAGCTTTTAGAAATTGCCCTAGTGATTCGGAATATACGTTGCGGTTACGATTTCACATAAATAGATAGAAGATAATACAGATATTTCAAAGCAACAAACAAGTGTTATATATTTTTGAAGGTTCGGAACTTCTATCGTTTAAGAGAACACTTCATTTTAAATAGAAAAGCCTCATATCATACTACAAGTTTCTAATATTTAATTTAAATAAAACATTCAAATTTTAAATACTATTTTATGTAGCGTTTAACAAAACGCTACCAGTTAGAAGTTATCCGCTTCCCGCTACTAACTATTTTTACTGAACACATGTTATTTTTGCGAAGTATTCATTTTAGATAGGGAGAGGGGAGTCAATTTTATCATGGAGACCTTAACTACATTTAGGCTTCATCTAGGATTTACCATAATATTAGAATTAAAAGTTCGGGTAAAGTGTAGTTTGCTTCACCCTGTGGTTTTGAATATAATTTGATTGTGCGCTACTAATACTAGTTTATCTCTCTCTCTCTCTCTCTCTCTCTCTCTATATATATATATATATATATATATATATATATATATATATATATATATATATATATATATATAAACACACACACCAAAGGATCATGTGTGATAAAGAACTACACTTTATGCATTTAAACTGACATGACATCTATATGACGTCTATATGGTAGGAGAGAGTGTGGTTATTACCTTATATAATTATTTACATTGAAAAATGAGTGGTGTTAATTTTACTATAACAATGGAGAAAAGAGAGTGCGAAAAAAATAGGAGAAATGAGAAATGACATGTATGTGTCGAGTTTGACATTTTTTGTTGTTTTATATCTTATTTAGAATATGGTATTCATGGTGGTAAAAAACAGTACATCATCCTTTATCATGTAACGTCGTATTTACTATAAGTAGTCTTAAAGTAATGATATAATTTTATTTTGTTTTTCTTTTTTTAAATAATGTGTGAAATCCTTACAATTTTACAAAACCTATAGAAAGATATTTTGTTTAGAAACAATTAGGATTTTACATCAGCTCTATTTAGTAAAAACATTCTAAGGATTATAACGGTGTAATTTATTTTCAAAGCAGACGTTGTTTAAGATATCATGTTTAACGAAAAATAAAATATAATCTTATTAAAGGTCTCTTGTGTTTTTTGTAGTCTAAATGCTTAAACTTGCAAATTACAAGTTAAGCAAACCATTCATTCAAAAAAAATGTTACACAATTAGATAGTAAGTGTTAAACACTTAAGTGATGTTGGTTTTTTGTTTGTAGATCTTTTTGGATTCTTTTGCCCGCACCGTGCATACCACATGTAGACACTAGCTCTTACAAACTGTTTGTTTTTTTAGAAGACCGCATACTTAAAAAGGTTTGTGTGGCCTCTTTTTGGCTCAGATGTGGATTAAAATATTCTAACTTCTTCATACATCTTCTAGTGTGTGTGTGTGCGTTTATATATATATATATATATATATATATATATATTAAACTTTGATTTATTCTAAATTTATATATGATAAACAATTCTGAAAAAAAAAATTTACACTGCTTTAAGAAAAAGTTTAATAGCACAACCATAACTTGTGTGACAAATTTATAAATAAAGATTTAATTATGATAATGGTCGTTGTAGCTGCTTATATATGTATGAAAATAATTCTAATATTGTCTTATATTATTTGTATCAAATGGAAATAGTTCTAATATTATCTTATATTTTTTTGTACCAAATTTTATAAAAAAAAATATATTTAATTTAATATTATACATTTCTTGAGAAAAATA